TTTTTTTTTTTTTTTTTTTTTGCAAAGGCGAATCTTGTTAGGTTCCTCCTGACGATAGACTAAACGGCCGTTTCTTGTATTTAAAAGAGGGAACTGTGTTATTGCTAAATAAACGGACAAGCTCAAATCATTGTATTTTTCATTACAATTGAAGTTTTTATGATTTTCTTCAGGGAGACTACATCAACTATATGTGTGGGGCTGGCATCATCAATAAGGAGGTAAGCAATCACCCCCCTCCCCCATACACCCACGCACACACACACACACACACACACACACACACACACACAGACACACACACACACACACACACACACAACTTGGTTGATACTTTTTGTTTTAAAAGTAAATCAGGCCAGTGAGAATTGTGTAAGATGGGGTAGTTAGATATATATACTAGCCAGCTACGTCACCATCACCGAAACACAAGAACAACAATGTCAAGAACAACAACGGCAACAACACCCCCTCCCCCACCCAAAATAAATAAATAATAATAATAAACTAAACCCAACCTCCTTCCCCCCAGGAAAAACCGACAACAATTCTTTGCACAAACATAAGATTAAGATAAGATGAATATATCTTTATAACGACTCCATATAGTCTTACGATCTTGATAGAGTATATAGAACATTTGGTTTTTGATCTCATGGTGTTAGTAACTCCAAACGACCACAAATGTCATATAGAACTTTGTATTTCTGAGGCAGCGAGGTGTCGACTTGTCGAGGGGAGATGCAGTGGTTCAGTGGGGGCCAGATTTGTTGCCTTTTGGATGGTCATGTTGATCCTTTGGGGAGTCTCGTTAATGTAGCGTCAGTGACCTAGTGGTCAGGCTACAGGACTCGTAATCTTGAGGTTGTTGGTGACCTAGTAGTTAGGCAACAGGACTCGTAATCGTGATGTTGTCGGTAATCTAGTGGTTAGGCTACCGGACTCGTAATCATGTGGTTGTCTGTGACCTAGTGGTTAGGCTACCGGACTCGTAATCATGTGGTTGTCGGTGACCTAGTGGTTAGGCTACCGAACTCGTAATCGTGAGGTTGCGTGTGCGGGGGGTTCGAGCCGTGGGCCCGACGTTGTGTCCTTGGGAAAGGCACTTTACACGAATTTTCCTCACTTCACCCAGGTGGGAATGGGTACCCGGCCATAGACAACGAAAGATCTTGTCAGTATGTTAGTGTTTTAGCGCCTATAAATGGCTACTTGCACTGTATGCTTCCCACTAAGCTGAGATTGTTTCAGAATGCTCTCAGGTCTGCTGGGGCAATAGTATAGATTGTGAAGCACATAGAGCTTGCTGTTGAGCGGGGATTTGCGCTATACAAATGCTATCTATTATCTATTATTTTTAACTCATTCTATCCAGTTGTCTTGTTCTTGGTCTTCCTGTGAATCAAACTCTTTAAATACTAATGCTCCCCTTAATTAAGAGGAACCCAAAAGTAAAGAGCAAAAAGAGGACAGTTTCAGATAAATTAACCTCCATCTTTTTTCCCAGCTGGACTACATCATTCGCATGATCAACACCAAGGGCTGCATGAAAAGCTTCGGCGAGTGGTTGTCGAAAAACGACGCTGTCATCGGCTATGTCTGTCTCGGAGTTCTTATTCCCCAGGTTGGTCAGTGAGTGGGTCATTGGCAGGACGTCTGGTGTGGCTTTCTCTTTCTTTTCTACCATACACCTGTCATGTCAATTCTTGGCCATCTACGCGGGTGGTTGATGGGTGCTCTGGTGTGGCTTGCATTTTCTATCCTATCAAACACCTGTCATGTAAATTCTTGACCATCTAGGCGGGCCATTGGCAGGACGTCTGGTGTGGCTTTCTCTTTCTTTTCTACCATACATCTGTCATGTCAATTCTTGACTATCTAAGTGAGTGGTTGGTGGGTGCTCTTGTGTGGCTTGCATTTTCTATTCTATCAAACACCTGTCGCCCTCATCTCTCCTTCTTTTCTTTGTATGTTACTACTCTTTAGTAACACCTCTGGTCGTCTACGCTTATGGTATAATCTTTTTGAGCTACAAGTACCGTAAAATGTGCTAAAAACTAAAACTTACCTTAAACCAGTCCCTGCTTTAGACCAAAGGTTACTCCCTTTAATTGGATAAATAAATTGATTTAATTAAATCACATTTAAACAAACCATTCAAAAATGTGTCAGAAAATAGCGAGGAAGAATGTAGTGCACCAAATTCGTTTCTTGATGTTTGGTTTATTACAGATAATTGGCGTGGTGGCAGCGAGGTTCTTTATCAAACACTTGCGGAAAAGAAGAACTTCTTGGAAACACTTGAAGGACAAGGTGCAGATTGTCTCAGAGCAGTAGACAGACACTGAGCGGCGCCAGATGCATGATGGATGGATGCTACCACCACCACCATTATCATCCCCATCATCATCATCATCATCATCATCATCATCATCATCATCATCATCATCATCATCATCA